CACTTTCTGATTTTTGTCTCCATTTGGTTTGTGAAATTATTGCTTAACTTAAAATGTATATCGAATATGTAACAATAAACTGCAACTGAAATTGAGAGGTTAAAATGTGTTAAAAAACTCACGCGGTTGCACAGAGCATTGGCCAAATTGATGAACGCAGAAGACGACGAGTTCGCGAGATCAATCTGGTATGTGTTATTGAAGGTGATGACAATAGAAATCAAAACATCTGAAATTGAAGGAAGAAATCAGTAAATAATGATATTAATGAATAATAGTAATGATGATTAGTAGATATAATGACAACGATAATAATCATCATCATTATCATCATCATCATAATAATAATAATTGCCCGGAAACCCTAATTGCAACCTTAACCATAACCTAACAACTGTACCCATAGGAAAGTGAAAAGTATGCCGCAGACCTGCCGCAGATCTGCCGCAGACCTGCCGCAGACTTTTAGTCTGCGGCAAAGAGTATGCCGAAGTATGCGGCAGAAAGAAATTTTGCTGCAGACTTGCCGCATACCAGTATGCCATAGGAACAGTCTGCGGCAGATCTGCGGCAGGATGAAATTTTGCTGCAGACTTGCCGCATACTAGTATGCCACAGGAACAGTCTGCGGCAGATCTGCGGCAGGATGAAATTTTGCTGCAGACTTGCCGCATACTAGTATGCCACAGGAACAGTCTGCGGCAGATCTGCGGCAGGATGAAACTTTGCTCCAGACTTGCCGCATACTAGTATGCCACAGGAACAGTCTGCGGCAGATCTGCGGCAGGATGAAACTTTGCTCCAGACTTGCCACATACTAGTATGCCACAGGAACAGTCTGCGGCAGATCTGCGGCAGGATGAAATTTTGCTGCAGACTTGCCGCATACTAGTATGCCACAGGAACAGTCTGCGGCAGATCTGCGGCAGGATGAAACTTTGCTCCAGACTTGCCGCATACTACCTTGCCACAGGAACAGTCTGCGGCAGATCTGCGGCAGGGCGAAACTTTGCTCCAGACTTGCCGCATACCAGTACACCACAGGAACAGTCTGCGGCAGGTCTGCCACAGGAAATCCCATTAAAGTCTAATAGGGCCAATTGAAACCAATCATCTCATGCATATTCATTATTACTTTACACGTGTGACAGAAAAATACATTTATCATGATTTGTTAAGCAAATTAAGACAATGCACATCATTTTTGTGATTTCTATTTTCCTTTTGCCATTATTAACCAATAGATTATTTTGTCTGATCATGTTACAATTACATTCACGTTTAAGCAATAGATATATTGATTACTAACGAAGAAACTATGATTACTAACCAAGAAACAATATACATATTTAGTATATATATGTGTACGAGCCTGTGTCACCTTACTCTTGAATACACTTCAAATGATCAATGTGATGAAGTTAATACAATTGAGAATAGAATATACCTAATTGGTAATGTCGATATCTATTGGTATTACCTAATTGGTAATATCGATATTGCCAATATCGATTATGAAGTATCAATCAGTTTATCACTGGTTCTTCTACATGCATACTTTATTGCCACGTACTGGGATTTCATGGATATGAAAGAGTATGCGGCAGGTCTGCAGCAGGTCTATATGACATATGAATATTCATGACGAAGAGTCTGCGGCAGGTCTGCAGCAAGTCTGCGGCAGACCTGCCGCAGACTCTTCATCATACTGAAAGAGTATGCGGCAGACTTGCCGCAGACTTGCCGCATACTCTTTCAGTATGATGAAGAGTCTGCGGCAAGTCTGCGGCAGACCTGCCGCAGACTCTTCATCATACTGAAAGAGTATGCGGCAAGTCTGCAGCAAGTCTGCGGCAGACCTGCTGCAGACTCTTCATCATACTGAATGAGTATGCGGCAAGTCTGCGGCAGACCTGCCGCAGACTCCTCATCATACTGAAAGAGTGTGCGGCAGGTCTGCAGCAAGTCTGCGGCAGACCTGCCGCAGACTCTTCATCATACTAAAAGAGTATGCGGCAAGTCTGCGGCAAGTCTGCGGCAAAACTAATTTGCATGTGAAAAAGATGACTGTCTGCGGCAGGTCTGCTGCAGATCTGCGGCAAGTCTGCCGCAGGAGTATGCGGCAGGCTCATTTCTTTCCTATGGGTAGCCAAGACCCTAACCCCACACCCAACCGACCAAGGAGCTAACAGCATTATTACCCCAGTCACTGAATTAATTGCGCAGAAACCCATATTGCCACCTAAACCATAACCTAACCTTAATTCTAAACCTAACCTGAGACAAAAGTGTAGCCAAAACCCTTACCCCACACACAACCGATCAAGGCGCTAACAGCATAATTTCCCCAGTCACTGAATTCAAATAATATTTTGCACATAACAGTGCACATCATCCACTCCCTAAGAATCATTTCAGATATAGTCGCCTTTTTACATTGACCTTCGCACCCTAATGATTTAAAGAACCCAAATCCTATAAAGTACCATCGTGTGTCTAGCTTCATAGCGCTAACAAAACTTGACCTAACCTGGTGTTGTGCCTGGTGTAGTACCTGGTGTGGTTCCCAGTGTTGTTCCAAGTGTTGTAGCTGGCGTTGTTCCAGGCGTTGTTCCAGGTGTTGTAGCTGGCGTTGTTGCAGGTGTTGTTCCTGGAGTTGTTCATGAGGAAAAAATTCAAAATGCATTGATATAGAACCGAATACCTATATTCAAGATTTGTGCGCTTACTTTACTTGATTATCAGTTGCTGTTTGGCGTTGGAAAAGACATATATTAGGTGTGACAATTGTTCAAACTTCTTACAGAGGCAATGACCGCATGACATTCAGAGAACCCAACTCCTTGAAAGTAGTAGTGTGTGTAGCTTTAAACCCCAAACAAAACGTGACCTAACCTGGTGTTGTGCCTGGTGTGGTACCTAGTGTTGTGCCTGGTGTTGTTCCAGGTGTTGTTCCAGGTGTTGTAGCTGGCGTTGTCACAGGTGTTGTTCCAGGTGTTGTTCCGGGTGTCGTTCCTGGCGTTGTTCCTGGTGTTGTAGCTGGTGTTGTAGCTGGTGTTGTTCCAGGTGTTGTTCCTGGAGTTGTTCCTGAGGAAAAGAATAATTGTTTTATTCATTACTAAAAAACTTTCCACCTATATTCAAGATTTCTGCGCTTAGTTTACGTGATTATCAGTTGCTGCTTGGCATTGGAAATGACATATATTAGGTGTGACAAATGACCACATGACATTCAGAGAACCCAACTCCTTGAAAGTACAGTAGTGTGTCTAGCTTTAAACCCCAAACAAAACTTGACCTAACCTAGTGTTGTGCCTGGTGTTGTTCCAGGTGTTGTTCCAGGTGTTGTTCCAGGTGTTGTTCCGGGTGTTGTTCCTGGCGTTGTTCCTGGTGTTGTAGCTGGTGTTGTAGCTGGAGTTGTTCCAGGTGTTGTTCCTGGAGTTGTTCCTGAGGGAAAGAATAATTGTTTTATTCATTACTAAAAAACTTTCCACCTATACTCAAGATTTCTGTGCTTAGTTTACTTGATTATCAGTTGCTGTTTGGCATTGGAAAAGACATATATTAGGTGTGACAAATGTTCAAACTTCCTACAGAGGCAATGACCACATGACATTCAGAGAACCCAACTCCTTGACAGTACAGTAGTGTGTTTAGCTTTAAACCCCAAACAAAACTTGAACTTACCTGGTGTTGTGCCTGGTGTAGTACCTAGTGTTGTTCCAGGTGTTGTTCCAGGTGTTGTAGCTGGCGTTGTCACAGGTGTTGTTCCAGGTGTTGTTCCGGGTGTCGTTCCTGGCGTTGTTCCTGGTGTTGTAGCTGGAGTTGTTCCAGATGTTGTTCCTGAAGTTGTTCCTGAGGGAAAGAATAATTGTTTTATTCATTACTAAAAAACTTTCCACCAATACTCAAGATTTCTGCGCTTAGTTTACTTGATTATCAGTTGCTGTTTGGCATTGGAACTGACATATATTAGGTGTGACAAATGTTCAAACTTCCTACAGAGGCAATGACGACATGACATTCAGAGAGCCCAACTCCTTGAAAGTACAGTAGTGTGTCTAGCTTTAAACCCCAAACAAAACTTGACCTAACCTAGTGTTGTGCCTGGTGTTGTTCCAGGTGTTGTTCCAGGTGTTGTAGCTGGCGTTGTCACAGGTGTTGTTCCAGGTGTTGTTCCTGGTGTTGTAGCTGGTGTTGTAGCTGGAGTTGTTCCAGATGTTGTTCCTGGAGTTGTTCCTGAGGGAAAGAATAATTGTTTTATTCATTACTAAAAAACTTTCCACCTATATTCAAGATTTCTGCGCTTAGTTTACTTGATTATTAGTTGCTGCTTGGCATTGGAAATGACATATATGAGATGTGACAAATGTTCAAACTTCTTACAGAGGCAATGACCACATGGCATTCAGAGAACCCAACTCCTTGAAAGTACAGTAGTGTGTCTAGCTTTAAACCCCAAACAAAACTTGAGCTAACCTGGTGTTGTGCCAGGTGTAGTATCTGGTGTTGTGCCTGGTGTTGTGCCTGGTGTAGTACCAGGTGTTGTGCCTGGTGTAGTACCTGGTGTTGTGCCTGGTGTTGTTCCAGGTGTTGTTCCAGGTGTTGTAGCTGGCGTTGTCACAGGTGTTGTTCCAGGTGTTGTTCCAGGTGTCGTTCCAGGCGTTGTTCCTGGAGTTGTTCCTGAGGGAAAAAATCAAAAGTTATATGTATTAATATAGAACTAAAATATATTCAAGATTTGTTCGCTTAGTTTACTTGATTACGAGTTGCTGTTTGGCATTGGAAAAGACATATATTAGGTGTGACAAATGTTCAAACTTTTTAGAGAGGCAATGACCGCATGACATTCAGAGAACCCAACTCCTTGAAAGTACAGTAGTGTGTCTAGCTTTAAACCCCAAACAAAACTTGACCTAACCTGGTGTTGTGCCTGGTGTAGTACCAGGTGTTGTGCTTGGTGTAGTACCTGGTGTTGTGCCTGGTGTTGTTCCAGGTGTTGTTCCAGGTGTTGTATCTGGCGTTGTCACAGGTGTTGTTCTGGGTGTCGTTCCTGGCGTTGTTCCAGGTGTTGTTCCCAGGGTTGTCCCCAGTGTTGTTCCTGAGAGGGAAAAAATGTTAAAAGCAATACTATAAAAGAGCTATACACCTATAGTAAAATGTCTGTGCATAGTTTACTCGATTATCAGTTGCCGTTTATTTCGATTATTATCACTTCTTGTACCACGACCCCATCATCTACTACTACTATACTACCTCTTCTTTTTAAATTCTTCTTCTATTAACCATTACAACAACTGCTACCACTTATACTAGTATTACTGTTACTAATTCACCTACTACTCCTGGTCTGGTATGAACCATAACAAGACTCATAAAAGAGTGAAAAGAGTGCAAAGATGAATCTAAAGAAGAAAATAGAAGAAAGAAAAAACAAAAGGCGAAATTATGAAAAGGTAGGACAGAAGAAGAGAAACAAGAAGGAAAAAAGAAGGAAAGTGAGAAGAAATATGAAAAGAAAAAGAGATACAAGAAGTTGAAGAAGAAAAAAAGGGGAAAAAAAGAAAGAAAATACGGTATATAAGAAAAGAAAAAATAAAAAATAAAAGAGGGAGATGAAGATGAAGAAGAAAAAAAGAAGAAAATAGAAAATAGAAGGCTAAAAAACATTTAGTGTGCCTACCTGTTGTTGTCTCTGTTTGCATGGTAGTAAGCTCAACTGTTGAATGAAAAGAAGAAAAAGAGGAGAAATACAACGAGAAGAATACACCAAGAAGCCGAGGTTCAGATAAGCTTATAATAATAATAATATTGGATATTTATATAGCGCACATATCGACCATGCATGGTGCTCAAGGCGCTCCAATTACTACTCCAACTATTATTATATAGTGTGCTTTCCCCCTCCCTGGCACAGGTGATCACAAATACTAACAGCAACTATACTAATAATAATAACTACTTCTTCTTTTTCTGAATCAGTCGGTAATTAAAGCTTATATATGCCTGTCCAACCAAAGATCTTGGGGGTCCAATCCAACCCAGGTGGAAAAATGAAGCCTGCGTTGTGCGTTAACGTGCACCTCCCCTGTTTCATGGACGCAGACTTATGCGGAAAATACTCTTGTCTCTCGAATAAGATGTTAAATGGAAGCCCTGTGTAGAGAAGAAATGCCAAATTGACACGAAAAAAACCCATTGCACTATTCGTATAAGAGTAGGGGAAACCCGTTGTAGCGGGAGGAGAGACCCGAGGGCAGTGACTCAGTTCGCTTTACACCTCTCTGGCACAAGTGGCGCTAAATACTCAATAATAACAATAATGGTTCAAATTCATTCACATTGATTGGCAGTCGTATGAATCAATTACTGAGTAGTATATTAAAGTCACCAAAAGATTACATTGGGAACAACATATTAATTTACCTTTCACATGTATTATAATTGTAAGACAAGTGAGTATTATACAGGTACAAATAAAAAGAAGTAAGTTCAGTATTTGAATTATAATACTAAGCCTTGCTTCATGAAACGTCATAAGTACAAGTTCAACGAGATGCCATTGAAACGTAATGTGTGTATTGAAAATCTACACGTATTTCAATGGGATATCGGCAAACTTGTTCTTATGACGTTTTCGTGACACAATGCCCCGGCTGTTAAAGGTTTGTTCAGGTATGAAGAGGTAAACTGTGGCAGTGTCTCTCAATAACGTGTACATGAATGGCAACTGCGCACAACGTATGTCCTACCCGTAATTCACTTAGCTCTGTGTTATCATACCAAATATTTGAAGCAAACACTTGCGTTATTATTATTACAAGGAAGAAAAAAATACCGCTGCTGTTAACCGCGTCACACCTAAACGAAATAAACTCTTCCAAGATCAAAAAGTGAGGAATAGGTTTAAAAAGTTGATCTTACCATTTGAGCTGACGGCGATTGGGAAGTAGAATGTTTCATTGTTGACTATAATGTTTCCTAAATCCATCGCGGTAACCATTCCGACATTATTCATGATGTTCTGTGCCTGGGAGGCGTCATTAGCAGGGAAGATCAAGTTAACATCTGCCACTATACTACCGTTTGTGAACCGTAATACTTCGCATGTGATATCACCATTCGTCAGGCTCTCGAAATACTCGATCAACTGTACATGTATAGGGAAAAAAACACCCCAAAAGCTATACAATAGTCACTAAAGTGTTGCATGACCGATATCTCACGATCTTTTTATGTTTCCATTTCTTATCAGTTTCATATATTTGTATAGTACATGTATTTACAACACGTATTAATATTTACTAGCCAGGGTGAGCTATCTTGGTCTGGAAGGAAAACCTGCGGGTTGTGCATTTCAATACCATTGAGTTGCCATTGGGTCTACAACCAGTTCGTCTACTACCCAATAAGTCTCTTCCCATATGATCGACATGCCCGGCCCGTCTACTATCTACATGGTCCAAAAATCAGTTCCTCTAATCTCCATTTAGTCTAATAACCAGTTAGTCTAATTCCAAGTTCATCCATTGCCCATTTTGTCTACCATACATAAGGTCTAAAAATTGTATTATGATTATTAGTATTCATTATTCATTGAATGGCGAATTTTTAGACTTTGTGAGAGTGAGAATGAAATTGTATTTCATTTTTTGAAGAACGCTACTAAACTTTAGTACAGCATGCTCATTGCATGGTAGCCGATTTATTGTTTGCATCATTGTTTACACCGAGTTCCATTTCTATCCAAGGAAATTTTATTTAAGAGAATTTTGATTTCTGGTAGAGGTGGAAAATATTTTGTTTACTTTCTCATTCTTTCTTAATATGTCAATTTAGAAGAAACTCATATCTTTATTCACTAATGGTTGAAACATGACGACAACACTCACACCACAGCTGATTGTGTGGGAAGCTGTCATATAGGCACATTTCTTTTTTGTTTAAGCATCACTTCTGTTGCAAAGAAGCAAATTGACGATCTTGCTATCATTTCATTTGGAAATCTTTCCCCCCAATAAAAAAAAATTAAACTAGATGGAACTTCGACTGCGAACTTCGACTCCGCCATAGAGCGATTTCACAAACCAAAACAGAAGCAATTTTTAAAAATCAAGTTTAATTGTAATCCATTAACAGGTTCTCAGAATATCGTGATTACAAGCTATTTTCCATATACATGTATGCCCCTTTTATCTTTGACCTCAAGACCCCAAAATCTACTTGGTTCATCCGGCTCTGCAAGATAAATACATGTTTAGAGATTGACGGTAATCCGTCTATCAGTTCTATTGATAATGTGATCACAAGCTATTTTTGCATACATAATGACAACGTCACCTTTGACCTTTGACTTCGTGACCCCGAAATCTAATCAGCTCATTAGCTCTGTCAGATACAGGCGCGGATCCAGGATTTCTTAGGGGAGGGGGCCCAACTTTTTTTTTTTTTTGCTCCCGAAAATTTGAAAATCGCGCCGGCCGAAAATTTGCTCAGTGGGGGGGGGGGGGGGGGGGGGGGGGGGGGGGGTAGTAGTGAGCACATTTTATATTTTTTGGTCCTCGAAAATTTAAAAGCTTGCATCCCCCCTTGAGCGCCAGAGGGGGGGGGGGGGCCCAACCCCAAAAAAGGGTAAAAATCACCTGTTTTTACATGATTTCCCCCCCCCCCCTGGATCCGCCACTGGTCAGATACATACATGACCCAAGTTTGGCAGGAATCCATCAATCGGTTCTTGAGATAGCGCGATCACGAGAACGGGACGTACGGACGGACAACCCTAAAACATAATGCCTCCGGCTACTTCGTAACAGAGGCATAAAAATAAATTACAGATCACATGTGTGTTTTGGGGGAGGTGGGGGTCATCCTATATAATGTCATGTGAATTTATAAACCTATGATGATAGATACGGACATAGTAAACAAAATCAAATCAAATCAAATCAAAATACGTCAGATAAGTTCTGTTGCAATGTTCTCATGTACAAGTAATGCAAATGTATGTAGGCAATGCAAGTTTGTACAGGTAAAGCAATTTTATTATAACAAATTAATTTGTTACATTGTTGTGATAAAAATGACTTTATCATTGCCCTTTTTTCGACCACAAATTATATTGCTGTGATTGTCATTAATTATTCGTCCCTTAAAACAAACAATTTTTGGGATGAAATTTACAACAATTTGGGGCCTACCGGTATATTAAACACACAGGCATTGCTTTCTACATTGGCCACTCCATATTTCACTCTTCTTTTCCAATTCAATCTTCTTTTTAGTTCAAACTTTTATTCAATGCATTCAGACAAATTGATATGAGGTACTCACTTTCTGATTTTTGTCTCCATTTGGTTTGTGAAATTATTGCTTAACTTAAAATGTATATCGAATATGTAACAATAAACTGCAACTGAAATTGAGAGGTTAAAATGTGTTAAAAAACTCACGCGGTTGCACAGAGCATTGGCCAAATTGATGAACGCAGAAGACGATGAGTTCGCGAGATCAATCTGGTATGTGTTATTGAAGGTGATGTCAATAGAAATCAAAACATCTGAAATTGAAGGAAGAAATCAGTAAATAATGATATTAATGAATAATAGTAATGATGATAAGTAGATATAATGACAACGATAATAACCATCATCATTATCATCATCATCATAATAATAATAATTGCCCGGAAACCCTAATTGCAACCTTAACCATAACCTAACAACTGTAGCCAAGACCCTAACCCCACACCCAACCGACCAAGGAGCTAACAGCATTATTACCCCAGTCACTGAATTCAAATAATATTTCGCACATAACAGTGCACATCATCCACTCCCTAAGAATCATTTCAGATATAGTCGCCTTTTTACATTGACCTTCGCACCCTAATGATTTAAAGAACCCAAATCCTATAAAGTACCATCGTGTGTCTAGCTTCATAGCGCTAACAAAACTTGACCTAACCTGGTGTTGTGCCTGGTGTAGTACCTGGTGTGGTTCCCAGTGTTGTTCCAAGTGTTGTAGCTGGCGTTGTTCCAGGCGTTGTTCCAGGTGTTGTAGCTGGCGTTGTTGCAGGTGTTGTTGCAGGTGTTGTAGCTAGAGTTGTTCCAGGTGTTGTTCCTGGAGTTGTTCATGAGGAAAAAATTCAAAATGCATTGATATAGAACCAAATACCTATATTCAAGATTTGTGCGCTTACTTTACTTGATTATCAGTTGCTGTTTGGCATTGGAAAAGACATATATTAGGTGTGACAATTGTTCAAACTTCTTACAGAGGCAATGACCGCATGACATTCAGAGAACCCAACTCCTTGAAAGTACAGTAGTGTGTGTAGCTTTAAACCCCAAACAAAACTTGACCTAACCTGGTGTTGTGCCTGGTGTGGTACCTAGTGTTGTGCCTGGTGTTGTTCCAGGTGTTGTAGCTGGCGTTGTCACAGGTGTTGTTCCAGGTGTTGTTCCGGGTGTCGTTCCTGGCGTTGTTCCTGGTGTTGTAGCTGGTGTTGTAGCTGGAGTTGTTCCAGGTGTTGTTCCTGGAGTTGTTCCTGAGGGAAAGAATAATTGTTTTATTCATTACTAAAAAACTTTCCACCTATATTCAAGATTTCTGCGCTTAGTTTACGTGATTATCAGTTGCTGCTTGGCATTGGAAATGACATATATTAGGTGTGACAAATGACCACATGACATTCAGAGAACCCAACTCCTTGAAAGTACAGTAGTGTGTCTAGCTTTAAACCCCAAACAAAACTTGACCTAACCTAGTGTTGTGCCTGGTGTTGTTCCAGGTGTTGTTCCAGGTGTTGTAGCTGGCGTTGTCACAGGTGTTGTCACAGGTGTTGTTCCAGGTGTTGTTCCGGGTGTCGTTCCTGGCGTTGTTCCTGGTGTTGTAGCTGGTGTTGTAGCTGGAGTTGTTCCAGGAGTTGTTCCTGGAGTTGTTCCTGAGGGAAAGAATAATTGTTTTACTCATTACTAAAAAACTTTCCACCTATAATCAAGATTTCTGCGCTTAGTTTACTTGATTATTGGTTGCTGTTTGGCATTGGAAAAGACATATATTAGGTGTGACAAATGTTCAAACTTCCTACAGAGGCAATGACCACATGACATTCAGAGAACCCAACTCCTTGACAGTACAGTAGTGTGTTTAGCTTTAAACCCCAAACAAAACTTGAACTTACCTGGTGTTGTGCCTGGTGTAGTACCTAGTGTTGTTCCAGGTGTTGTTCCAGGTGTTGTAGCTGGCGTTGTCACAGGTGTTGTTCCAGGTGTTGTTCCGGGTGTCGTTCCTGGCGTTGTTCCTGGTGTTGTAGCTGGAGTTGTTCCAGATGTTGTTCCTGGAGTTGTTCCTGAGGGAAAGAATAATTGTTTTACTCATTACTAAAAAACTTTCCACCTATAATCATGATTTCTGCGCTTAGTTTACTTGATTATTGGTTGCTGTTTGGCATTGGAAAAGACATATATTAGGTGTGAAAAATGTTCAAACTTCCTACAGAGGCAATGACCACATGACATTCAGAGAACCCAACTCCTTGAAAGTACAGTAGTGTGTGTAGCTTTAAACCCCAAACAAAACTTGACCTAACCTGGTGTTGTGCCTGGTGTGGTACCTAGTGTTGTGCCTGGTGTTGTTCCAGGTGTTGTAGCTGGCGTTGTCACAGGTGTTGTTCCAGGTGTTGTTCCGGGTGTCGTTCCTGGCGTTGTTCCTGGTGTTGTAGCTGGTGTTGTAGCTGGAGTTGTTCCAGGTGTTGTTCCTGGAGTTGTTCCTGAGGGAAAGAATAATTGTTTTATTCATTACTAAAAAACTTTCCACCTATATTCAAGATTTCTGCGCTTAGTTTACGTGATTATCAGTTGCTGCTTGGCATTGGAAATGACATATATTAGGTGTGACAAATGACCACATGACATTCAGAGAACCCAACTCCTTGAAAGTACAGTAGTGTGTCTAGCTTTAAACCCCAAACAAAACTTGACCTAACCTAGTGTTGTGCCTGGTGTTGTTCCAGGTGTTGTTCCAGGTGTTGTAGTTGGCGTTGTCACAGGTGTTGTCACAGGTGTTGTTCCAGGTGTTGTTCCGGGTGTCGTTCCTGGCGTTGTTCCTGGTGTTGTAGCTGGTGTTGTAGCTGGAGTTGTTCCAGGAGTTGTTCCTGGAGTTGTTCCTGAGGGAAAGAATAATTGTTTTACTCATTACTAAAAAACTTTCCACCTATAATCAAGATTTCTGCGCTTAGTTTACTTGACTATTGGTTGCTGTTTGGCATTGGAAAAGACATATATTAGGTGTGACAAATGTTCAAACTTCCTACAGAGGCAATGACCACATGACATTCAGAGAACCCAACTCCTTGACAGTACAGTAGTGTGTTTAGCTTTAAACCCCAAACAAAACTTGAACTTACCTGGTGTTGTGCCTGGTGTAGTACCTAGTGTTGTTCCAGGTGTTGTTCCAGGTGTTGTAGCTGGCGTTGTCACAGGTGTTGTTCCAGGTGTTGTTCCGGGTGTCGTTCCTGGCGTTGTTCCTGGTGTTGTAGCTGGAGTTGTTCCAGATGTTGTTCCTGGAGTTGTTCCTGAGGGAAAGAATAATTGTTTTACTCATTACTAAAAAACTTTCCACCTATAATCAAGATTTCTGCGCTTAGTTTACTTGATTATCAGTTGCTGTTTGGCATTGGAACTGACATATATTAGGTGTGACAAATGTTCAAACTTCCTACAGAGGCAATGACGACATGACATTCAGAGAACCCAACTCCTTGAAAGTACAGTAGTGTGTCTAGCTTTAAACCCCAAACAAAACTTGACCTAACCTAGTGTTGTGCCTGGTGTTGTTCCAGGTGTTGTTCCAGGTGTTGTAGCTGGCGTTGTCACAGGTGTTGTTCCAGGTGTTGTTCCGGGTGTCGTTCCTGGTGTTGTTCCTGGTGTTGTAGCTGGTGTTGTAGCTGGAGTTGTTCCAGATGTTATTCCTGGAGTTGTTCCTGAGGGAAAGAATAATTGTTTTATTCATTACTAAAAAAAATTCTACCTATATTCAAGATTTCTGCGCTTAGTTTACTTGATTATTTGTTGCTGCTTGGCATTGGAAATGACTTATATGAGGTGTGACAAATGTTCAAACTTCTTACAGAGGCAATGACCACATGGCATTCAGAGAACCCAACTCCTTGAAAGTACAGTAGTGTGTCTAGCTTTAAACCCCAAACAAAACTTGAGCTAACCTGGTGTTGTGCCAGGTGTAGTATCTAGTGTTGTGCCTGGTGTTGTGCCTGGTGTAGTACCAGGTGTTGTGCCTGGTGTAGTACCTGGTGTTGTGCCTGGTGTTGTTCCAGGTGTTGTTCCAGGTGTTGTAGCTGGCGTTGTCACAGGTGTTGTTCCAGGTGTTGTTCCCGGTGTCGTTCCAGGCGTTGTTCCTGGAGTTGTTCCTGAGGGAAAAAATCAAAAGTTATATGTATTAATATAGAACTAAAATATATTCAAGATTTGTTCGCTTAGTTTACTTGATTATGAGTTGCTGTTTGGCATTGGAAAAGACATATATTAGGTGTGACAAATGTTCAAACTTTTTAGAGAGGCAATGACCGCATGACATTCAGAGAACCCAACTCCTTGAAAGTACAGTAGTGTGTCTAGCTTTAAACCCCAAACAAAACTTGACCTAACCTGGTGTTGTGCCTGGTGTAGTACCAGGTGTTGTGCCTGGTGTAGTACCTGGTGTTGTGCCTGGTGTTGTTCCAGGTGTTGTTCCAGGTGTTGTATCTGGCAAAGTCACAGGTGTTGTTCTGGGTGTCGTTCCTGGCGTTGTTCCTGGTGTTGTTCCCAGGGTTGTCCCCAGTGTTGTTCCTGAGAGGGAAAAAATGTTAAAAGCAATACTATAAAAGAGCTATACACCTATAGTAAAATGTCTGTGCATAGTTTACTCGATTATCAGTTGCCGTTTATTTCGATTATTATCACTTCTTGTACCACGACCCCATCATCTACTACTACTATACTACCTCTTCTTTTTAAATTCTTCTTCTATCACCATTACAACAACTGCTACCACTTATACCAGTATTACTGTTTCCAATACTATTACTACTAATGGTCTGGTATGAACCATAACAAGACTCATAAAAGAGTGAAAAGAGTGCAAAGATGAATCTAAAGAAGAAAATAGAAGAAAGAAAAAAACAAATGGCGAAATTATGAAAAGGTAGGACAGAAGAAGAGAAACAAGAAGGAAAAAAGAAGGAAAGTGAGAAGAAATATGAAAAGAAAAAGAGATACAAGAAGTTGAAGAAGAAGAAAAAAAAGGGGAAAAAAAGAAAGAAAATACGGTATATAAGAAAAGGAAAAATAAAAAATAAAAGAGGGAGATGAAGATGAAGAAGAAAAAAAGAAGAAAATAGAAAATAGAAGGCTAAAAAACATTTAGTGTGCCTACCTGTTGTTGTCTCTGTTTGCATGGTAGTAGGCTCAACTGTTGAATGAAAAGAAGAAAAAAAAAGGATAAATACAATGAGAAGAATACACCAAGAAGCCGAGGTTCAGATAAGCTTATAATAATAATAATATTGGATATTTATATAGCGCACATATCGACAATACATGGTGCTCAAGGCGCTCCAATTACTACTCTAACTATTATTATATAGTGTGCTTTCCCCCTCCCTGGCACAGATGATCACAAATACTAACAGCAACTATATATACTAATAATAACAACTACTTCTTCTTCTGAATCAGTCGGTAAAGCTTATGCCGGTCCAACCAAAGATCTAGGAGGTCCAATCCATTCCAGGCAGGTGGATAAATAACACGTTAACGTGCACCTCCCCTGTTTCATGGACGCAAACTAATGCGTAAAGTACTCTAGTCTCTCGAATAAGATTTTAAATGGAGGCCCTGTGTAGAGGAGAACTGCCACATTGACAAGAAAAGAACTCATTGCACTATTCGTATAAGAGTAGGGGAAAACCCCTTTGTAGTGGGAGGAGAGACCCGAGTGCAGTGACTCAGTTCGCCTTACGCCTCTCTGGCACAGGTGGCGCTAAATACCCATAATAACAATAATGGTTCAAATTCATTCACATTGATTGGCAGTCGTATTAATCAATTACTGATTAGTATATTATAGTCACCAAACGATTACATTGGGAACAAAATATTAATTTACCTTTCACATGTATTATAATTGTAAGATAAGTGAGTATTATACAGGTACAAATAAAAAGAAGTTCAGTATTTGAATTATCATACTAAGCCTTGCTTCATGAAACGTCATAAGTACAAGTTCAACGAGATGCCATTAAAACGTAACGTGTGTATTGAAAATCTACACGCATTTCAATGACGGTTTCGTGACACAATGCCCCAGTCGTTAAAGGTTCGTTCAGGTATGAAGAGGTAAACCGTGACAGTGTCTCTCACACTAACGTGTACATGATATATAACTGCGCAAAACGTATGTCCTACCCGTAATTCACTTAGCTCTGTGTTATCAGATAGCGAAAATTTGAAGCAAACACTTGCGTTATTATTATTACAAGGAAGAAAAAAAAAGCTGCCAAAATACTCTTCCAAGATCAAAAAGTGAGGAATAGGTTTAAAAAATCGATCTTACCATTTGAGCTGACGGCGATTGTGAAGTATGTTTCATTGTTGACTATAATGTTTCCTATATCCATCGCGGTAACGTTTCCGACATTAGTCATGATGTTCTGTGCCTGGGAGGCGCTGTTAGCAGGGAAGGTCAAGTTAACTTCTGCCACTATACTGCTACTTGTGAACCGTAATACTTCGCATATGATAACGCCATTCGTCAGGCTCTGGAAATAATCGATCAACTGTATAGGGAAAAAAAACACCCCAAAAGCTATACAATAGTCACTAAAGTTTTGCATGACCGATATTTCATAATCTTTTTGTTTTAAGTTAAAGAGTTATGTTTCCATTTCTTATCAGTTTCATATATTTGTATAGTACATGTATTTACAACAAGTATTAATATTTACTAGCCAGGTTGAGCTATCTTGGTCGGGAAGGAAAAACTGCGGGTTGTGCATTTCAATACCATGCCATCAGGCTGGCGAGCGTTGAGTTGCCATTGGGCCAGTTCGTCTACTCCCCAATAAGTCTCTTCCCATATGATCTACACCCGGCCCATCTACCAATAATCAGTTAGTCTAATCTCCATTTAGTCTAATAACCAGTTAGTCTAATTCCAAGTTCATCCATTTTGTCTACCATACATAAGGTCTAAAAATTGTATTATGATTATTAATATTCATCATGCAGTGAATGGCAACTTTTTAGACTTTGAGTGAGTGAGAATGAAAATGTATTTCATTTTTTGAAGAACGCTACTAAACTTTATTACAGCATGCTCATTGCATGGTAGCCGATTTATTTTTTGCATTATTGTTTACACCGAGTTCCATTTCTATCCAAGGAAAGTTTATTTTAGAGAATTTTGATTTCTGGTAAAGGTGGAAAATATTTTTTTTACTTTCTCATTCTTTCTTAGTATGTCAATTTAGAAGAAACTCATAGTAGAAATGTCCCCTGAAAATGATATGTCTTTATTCACTAACGGTTAAAACATGACGACAACATTAACACCACAGCTGATTGTGTGGGAAGCTGTCATATAGGCACCTTTCTTTTTTGTATTAGCATCACTTTTGTTGCAAAGTAGCAAATAGTGCCCAAAACAACAAAATACCTTAATCAAATTGACGATCTTGCTATCATTTCATTTGGAAATCTTCCCCCCCCCCCAATAAAAAAAAAATTAAACTAGATGGAACTTCGACTGCGCGCAGTCGAAAAAGATGCCTCCACCAATGAGCGATTGCACAAACCAAAACAGAAGTAATTTTTAAAAATCAAGTTTAATTGTAATCCATTAACAGGTTCTCAGAATATCGTGATTACAAGCTATTTTTCATGCCCCTTTTATCTTTGACCTCAAGACCCCAAAATCTACTCAGTTCATCGGCTCTGCAAGATAAATACATGTTTTGAGATTGACGGTAACGGTAATCCGTCTATCAGTTCTATTGATAATGTGATCACAAGCTATTTTTGCATACATAATGAACCCTGTCACCTTTGACCTTTGACCTCGTGACCCCGAAATCTAATCAGCTCATTAGCTCTGCCAGATATACATGACCCAAGTGTGGCAGGAATCCATCAATCGATTCTTGAGATAACGCAATCACGAGAACGGGACGGGCGGACGGACAACCCAAAAACATAATGCCTCCGGCTACTTCGTAACAGAGGCATAAAAATAAATTACAGATCACATGTGCGTTTTGGGGGAGGTGGGGTCATCCTATATAATGTCATGTGAATTCATAAACCTATGATGATAGATATGGACATAGTGAACAAAATCAAATCAAATCAAATCAAAATACGTCAGATAAGTTCTGTTGCAATATTTTCATGTACAAGTAATGCAAATGTATGTAGGTAATGCAAGTTTGTACAGGTAATGCAGTTTTATTATAACACATTAATTAGGTGATACGTACGTAGACGTATCACCTTTTGATTTCGTCAAGATTTTTATTATTATTATTTATTTATTTATTTATTTATTAGGTGATACGTAACGAAGTCTACGTATCACCTATTGATTTCGTCAAGATTTTTATTAGGTGATACGTAACGAAGTCTACGTATCACCTATTGATTTCGTCAAGATTTTTATTCCTAGTATTCTTCCTCGATTTTGTTCGCAGGATATCTCAAGACTGAATCAAGCCATTATCATGAAACTTTCAATGATGATAGATCTTAGTCTAACTTAGAACTGCGTGAATTTTCAAAGACTCAAAGTCATCGTGACGTCATCCAGGCGCCATTTTGTGAAAATCAACTAATAATCATATCTTTATAACGAATAGTAATTTTTCATTCATATTTATCATGATTAAGATCAATACCCGTCCGGTCAATTTTAGGTCAATAAACGTGCGTAAATGCGCGCGTGCGCGCTCGTCCGCGCGTTTACGCGCGCGCAAAAATTAAAAATGCTCTAAATTATCCCAAATTTTTTTTGCATACGTTTCAGGCCATATGGAGCATTTGATAAAAAAATTACGCACACGCGCATGCGCGCGCGTTTTCGCGCGTACTGGCATTTTGCAACATAGAATCGCCGATTTTTTTCTGTCATCATATTTGGTACATTTTTCCAAGCATTTTGATAATTTGTTCACCTTTTATTAACGCAATGAGCGTCCGTCAAAGTTGACAGCACGCGCGGATTTGCGTTATCTTTATCCACAATACATGGGCAAAAACATGCCTATATAAAATTCATTGTAACTCTTTAAAATAGATAGAAACTCCTAATATTTTTTCATATTTGGATAGATTATGAGTCGGAGATATGATTTCATGTCTCATTTGATCCTCAATTAACTCATGACGTCATCATAATGGCCTCCAAACTCAAAATTTTCATTTGCATATTATGACGTCAGCATATTTTTGGAAAATTGATTGTATCTCTGTAAATATGGATCAATTTTCTTTTTTTAATTTAATTTTTTAATAAGTTCTAGCTGAGACAATTTTCTACAAATGTAATATTCACAATTTTTATTTTTGACAAAACTATCATGGTGTATTTTTGCGATTAAAGGAGGCATGTCAATTTTTCGCATTTTGCGTGTATTCTCTATGGGACATGACTTTTTCTCAAAACTGGATTCTACACTCCTGTCTTTCGCGAGCAAAATCTCCGTTGTTTTAGCTTCGTTTTTGCTGAGCTTTGGATATGTTGTAGCTGAGACAATGAGCTATCAAAAGTGTTTTTTTTTTTTCGATTAGATGCCGGGATCATGCTCATATTTCACTTGCAAAGTAGGATTTCTGAATTCCATTTCCCGTTTACGTGTAATCGCTACGGGAGATGTTTTGGTATATCGGTAACGCACTTGACTTCCAACCTCGAGATCCCTGGTTCGAGTCTGGGTGTCTCCAACACTTTTTTTTTTCTTCACTTTTTTTCCTTTTGACCTTCACTGTACCATCTCCTTTGATTATTTAAACACGTAGATTCGCAAATAATGTCATAAATAACCCTTTTTACTTTATTATTACCCTATTTTCACTTAATCCATTACTTTTTGCGTGTAATCCCTATGGGAGATGACTTTTTCTAAAATCTGGAGTCTACATTCCTGTCTTTTGCGAGCAATATCGCCGTTATTTCTGCTTGGATTTTGTTGATTTTTGAGTATGCTGTAGCTAAGACTATGTGCTATCTAAATCACCCCTCATTTTGTCAATAAGATGTCAGGATCCCGCTCATGATTATGATCTTCATCATGATCATCATGATCATCATTATCATAATGATGATAATCATTTATCAATTACATTTTCATTTCTTTGAATAAGATAAAATCGTCAAAATGTTATCTTCATGATGTAAATTAGAGTCAAAGGTGTAACTGGTTACTGCGCAGGGTCAATGGTCATATTTTTTCAATCTATCTTCCCTAGATCCATAATGATCAAGGGGACACAATTTAAACTTGACATATGGATAGATCTTAATGGATGAAGCATTTCATGAAATAATATGATATCGTGTAATGCATTCTTTATTATGTAAACCATTAGCATACGTATCACCTAATTCGTCAAAGTGACGAATTAAAGTCTAGTTTATCAGGTGGGCTGTATAACGTACAGACCACCTTATAATTTCGTTAGAATTGCCTTTATTTATTTATTTATTTATTATTTATTTTTCTTATTTCTAACCACTTTTTTGTTGGCAGGATAACTTGAAAATGGCTCAATCAAAAGCCTTGAAATTTAGCACACATATGTATAGGCATATGTACAAAGCACAATAACGTTTTCAACATTAAACATTACTGATGACGTCATCTAGGCGCCATTTTGTAAAATTTTACGAAAATCAACTTATGATCATATCTTCATAACCAAAAGTTATTTCTCATTCATATTTATCATGATCAAGGTCAATATCCGTCCGGTCAATTTCAGGTCAAAGAACGCGCGCGTGCGCATACGTCCGCGCGTCAATGCGCGCGCAAAATTTTAAAATGCTCAAAATCGTCTCAAAATCATTTTGCATACGTTTGAGGCCATTTTAAGCATTTTATAAAAAATCGCGCACACGCACATGCGCGCGCGTTTTCGCGCGTAAAACTATTACACAACATAGAATCGCCATTTTTTTTTCTTCATAATATTCTACATATTTTTACAAACAAATAGATGCCATGGTTGTTTCTTTATGACTATTAAAAACGGAATGATCGACCGTTAAACAAAATTTCCGTGCGCGCGAGCTCTTGTAATACATAGCATATATGGGCAAAAACATGCCTATACAAAATACATTGTAGCTCTTTAGAATGCAAGGTGACGCCAATTTTTTTCATATTTTAATAGAGTATGATTCGGAGATATTTGTTCATGTCTCATTTGATTCTCAATTAACTCATGACGTCATCATAATGGCCTCCGAACTCAAAATTCCAATTTGCATATTATGACGTCAGCATATTTATAGAAAATTGATTGTATCTCTGTAAATATTGATCGATTTTCTTACAAATTTTGATACGTTCTAGCTGAGACAATTTTCTACAGATGCAGTTCTAATTATTCTTTATTTTGACAAAGGCATCATGGCGTATTTTTGCGATTAAAGGAGGCATGTCAATTTTTCACATTTAGCGTGTATTCTCTATGGGACATGACTTTTTTTCAAAACTCGATTCTACATTCCCGTCTTTCGCGAGTAATATCTACGTCGTTTTAGCTTCGTTTACGCTGTACTTCGAGTTTGTTGTAGCTGAGACGATAAGATATCTCAAATGTGCCCTTCATTTTGTCTCAAATTTTAGTTGGACCAGCCCACCTATACTTGTTCCAAACAAGTATTACAAATCTAGTTTATTATTATTCTTCCTCGAATTTGTTCGCAGGATATCTCAAGACTGAATAAAGCCATTATCATGAAACTTGCCATGATGATAGATCTTAGTCTAACTTAGAACTGCGTGACTTTTCAAAGACTCAAATTCATTATGACGTCATCTAGGCGCCATTTTGTGAAAATCAACTTATGATCATATCTTCATAACGGAAAGTAATTTTTCATTCATATTTATCATGAATAAGATCAATATTCGTCCGGTCAATTTCAGGTCAATAAACGTGCGCAAATGCGCGCGGGCGCGTTCGTCCGCGCGCGCAAAAATTAAAAATGCTCTAAATCATCTCAAATTTTTTTTGCATACGTTTTAGGTCTTTTGGAGTATTTGACAAAAAATCATGCACACGCGCATGCGCGCGCGTTTTTTCTGCGCACTAGCATTTTGTAACATAGAATTGCCAAATTTTCTATTTCAGCGTATTTGGCACATTTTTCCAAGCATTTTGATAATTTGTTCACCTTTTAATAACGCAATGAGCGTCCGTCAAAGTTGACAGCGCGCGCAGATCTGCGTTATCTTTATCCACAATATATGGGCAAAAACATACCTATACAAAATTCATTGTAACTCTTCAGAATAGATATGAACTCCCAATATGTTTTCATATGTTGATAGATCATGAGTTGGAGATATGATTTCATGTCTCATTTGATCCTCAATTAACTCATGATGTCATCATAATGGCCTCCGAACTCAAAATTTAAATTTGCATATTATGACGTTTGCATATTTTTGGAAAATTGATTGTATCTCTAAAAATATTGATTGTTTTTCTTCAAAATTTTGATATGTTGTAGCTGAGATAATTTCTTACAAATATGGTGTACACAATTTTCCTGTTTGACAAAGGTATCATGGCGTATTTTTGCAATTAAAGGAGGCATGTCGATTTTTCACATTTTGCGTGTATTGTCTATGGGACATGACTATTTCTCAAAACTGCATTCTACATTTCCGTCTTTCGCGAGCAACATCTCCGTTGTTTTGACTTTTTTTTCGGTGAGCTTCGAGTATGTTGTAGCTGAGACAATGAGCTATCTCCAATGTGTACTTCATTTTTCGATCATATGCCGGGATCATGCTCATATTTTACTTGCAAAGTGGGATTTTAGAATTCCATTTTCGTTTACGTGTAATCGCTATGGGAAATGTTTTGGTATATCGGTAACGCACTTGACTTCCGACCTTGAGATCCCGGGTTCGAGTCCGGGTGTCTCCCAAAAAAAAATTCTGAACTTTTTTTTTCTTGTTGACCTTTCACTGTACCATCTCCTTTAATTATTCGAACACGTAGAATCGCAAATAATGTAATAAACAACCCTATTTACTTTATTGTTTCCCTATTTTCACTTAATCCATTACTTTTTGCGTGTAATCCCTGTGGGAGATAATTTTTTCTCAAATCTGGATTCTACATTCCTGTCTTTTGCGAGCAATATCGCCGTTATTTCTGCTTGGATTTTGTTGATTTTTGAGTATGCTGTAGCTAAGACTATGTGCTATCTAAATCACCCCTCATTTTGTCAATAAGATGTCAGGATCCCGCTCATGATTATGATCTTCATCATGATCATCATGATCATCATTATCATAATGATGATAATCATTTATCAATTACATTTTCATTTCTTTGAATAAGATAAAATCGTCAAAATGTTATCTTCATGATGTAAATTAGAGTCAAAGGTGTAACTGGTTACTGCGCAGGGTCAATGGTCATATTTTTTCAATCTATCTTCCCTAGATCCATAATGATCAAGGGGACACAATTTAAACTTGACATATGGATAGATCTTAATGGATGAAGCATTTCATGAAATAATATGATATCGTGTAATGCATTCTTTATTATGTAAACCATTAGCATACGTATCACCTAATTCGTCAAAGTGACGAATTAAAGTCTAGTTTGTTACATTGTTGTGATAAAAAAGACTTTATCATTGCCCTTTTTTCGAACACAAATTATATTGCTGTGATTGTCATTCATTACTCGTCTCTTAAAACAAACAATTTTTGGGATGAAATTTACTACAATTTGGGGCCTATATTAAACACACAGGCATGGCTTTCTACATTGGCCACTCCATATTTCACTCTTCTTTTCCAATTCAATCTTTTTTTTAGTTCAAACTTTTATTCAATGCATTCAGACAAATTGATATGAGGTACTCACTTTCTGATTTTTGTCTCCATTTGGTTTGCTTAACTTAAAATGTATATGAAATATGTAACAATAAACTGAAACTGAGAGGTTAAAATGTGTTATAAAACTCACGCTGTCGCACAGAGCATTGGCCAAATTGATGAACGCAGAAGACGATGAGTTTGCGAGATCAATCTGGTATGTGTTGTTGAAGGTGATGACCATAAAAATCACAACATCTGAAATTGAAGGAAGAAATCAGTAAATAATGATATTATAATGAATAATAGTAATAATGATTAGTAGATATAATGGCAACGATAATAATCATCATAATCATAATCATCATCATCATCATCGTCATCATCATCATAATAATAATAATTGCCCGAAAACCCTAATTGCAACCTAAACCATAACCTAACAACTGAAGCCAAGACCCTACCCCACATCCAACCGACCAAGGCGCTAACAGCATTATTACCCCAGTCACTGAATTTATTGCGCAGAAACCCATATTGCAACCTAAACAATAACCTTAATTCTAAACCTAACCTGAGACAAAAGTGTAGCCAAAACCCTAACCCCACACACAACCGATCAAGTCGCTAACAGCATTATTTCCCCAGATATGAATTCAAATAATATTCTGCAAATAACAATGCACATCAATTTAAGAATCATTTCAGATATATAGTCACCTTTTTACATTAACTTTCGCACCCTAACGATTTAGAAAACCCAAATCCTATAAAGTACCATAGTGTGTCTAGCTTCATACCAACAACAAAACTTGAACTAACTCGGTGTAGTACCTGGTGTGGTCCCCGGAGTTGATCCCGGAGTTGTTTCAGGTGTTGTTCCTGGTGTTGTAGCTGGCGTTGTTACAGGTGTTGTTCCGGATGTTGTGCCTGGTGTAGTATCTGGTGTTGTTCCCGGGGTTGTTCCCAGTGTTGTTCCTGAGAGGACAAAAAATGTTAAACGCAATACTATAAGAGAACTATACACCTATGGTAAAATGTCTGCGGTTAGTTTACTCGATTATCAGTTGCTGTGTGGCATCAAAAATTCTATGAATTAGTTGTAACAAATACTGGAAGTGACGCAGGACATTCAGAGAACCCAAATTCTCCGAAGTACTATAGTGTGTCTAGCTTTATACCCACAACAAAACTTGAACTAACCTGATGTTGTGCCTGGTGTAGTAGCTGGTGTAGTAGCTGGTGTAGTAGCTGGTGAAGTACCTGGTGTGGTTCCCGGAGTTGTTCCAGGTGTTGTTCCAGGGGTTGTTCCGGATGTTGTTCCAAGCGTTGTTCCAGGTGTTGTTCCGGATGTTGTTCCAGGCGTTGTTCCAGGTGTTGTTCCCGGTGTTGTTCCTGAGACAGAAAAATATGTTAAATGCAATAATATAAAAGAGCTATACACCTATGGTAAAATGTCTGCGCTTAGTTTACTCGATTATCAGTTGCCGTGTGGCATCGGAAATTCCATATATTAGGTGTAACAAATATTCAAAGCTACTTACAGAGGCAATAACGACATGATATTCAGAGAGCCCTAATCCTTGTAAGTACCATAGTGTGTCTAGCTTTATACCCACAACAAAACTTGAACTAACCCGGTGAAGTACCTGGTGTAGTACCTGGTGTAGTAGCTGGTGTAGTAGCTGGTGTAGTAGCTGGTGAAGTACCTGGTGTGGTTCCCGGAGTTGTTCCAGGTGTTGTTCCAGGTGTCGTTCCAGGGGTTGTTCCGGATGTTGTTCCAGGGGTTGTTCCAGGTGTTGTTCCTTGGGTTGTTCCTGAGACGGAAAAATATGTTAAACGCAATAATATAAAAGAACTACACACCTATAGTAAAATGTCTGCGCTTAGTTTACTCGATTATCAGTTGCCATGTGGCATCGGAAATTCCATATATTAGGTGTAACAAATATTCAAAGCTACTTACAGAGGCAATAATCACATGATATTCAGAGAACCCAAATCCTTGTAGGTACTATAGTGTGTCTAGCTTTATACCCACACCAAAAATTGAACTAACCCGATGTTGTGCCTGGTGTAGCAGCTGGTGTAGAAGCTAATGTAGTAGCTGGTGTAGTAGCTGGTGTACTAGCTGGTGTAGTAGCTGGTGTACTAGCTGGTGTACTAGCTGGTGTACTAGCTGGTGTAGTAGCTTGTGTAGTAGCTGGTGTACTAACTGGTGTACTAGCTGGTGTAGTAGCTGGTATACTAGCTGGTGTACTAGCTGGTGTACTAGCTGGTGTACTAGCTGGTGTACTAGCTGGTGTAGTAGCTGGTGTAGTAGCTGGTGTAGTAGCTGGTGTACTAGCTGGTGTACTAGCTGGTGTAGTACTACACCAGCTAGTACACCAGCTAGTAGCTGGTGTAGTAGCTGATGTAGTGGCTGGTGTACTAGCTGGTGTACTAGCTGGTGTACTAGCTGGTGTGGTAACTGGTGTACTAGCTGGTGTAGTACTACACCAGCTAGTACACCAGCTAGTAGCTGGTGTAGTAGCTGGTGTAGTGGCTGGTGTACTAGGTGGTGTACTAGCTGGTGTGGTAGCTGGTGTACTAGCTGGTGTAGTAGCTGGTGTAGTAGCTGGTGTAGTAGCTGGTGTAGTAGCTGGTGTACTAGCTTGTGTGGTAGCTGGTGTACTAGCTGGTGTACTAGCTGGTGTAGTAGCTGGTGTACTAGGTGGTGTACTAGCTGGTGTAGTACCTGGTGTACTAGCTGGTGTACTAGCTGGTGTAGTAGCTGGTGTAGTAGCTGGTGTACTAGCTGGTGTGGTAGCTGGTGTACTAGCTGGTGTGGTAGCTGGTGTACTAGCTGGTGTAGTAGCTGGTGTAGTGGCTGGTGTACTAGCTGGTGTAGTAGCTGGTGTACTAGCTGGTGTGGTAGCTGGTGTAGTGGCTGGTGTAATAGCTGGTGTAGTAGCTGGTGTACTAGCTGGTGTGGTAGCTGGTGTACTAGCTGGTGTACTAGCTGGTGTAGTAGCTGGTGTACTAGGTGGTGTACTAGCTGGTGTAGTACCTGGTGTACTAGCTGGTGTACTAGCTGGTGTGGTAGCTGGTGTGGTAGCTGGTGTACTAGCTGGTGTAGTAGCTGGTGTAGTAGCTGGTGTAGTAGCTGGTGTAGTAGCTGGTGTACTAGCTGGTGTGGTAGCTGGTGTACTAGCTGGTGTACTAGCTGGTGTAGTAGCTGGTGTACTAGGTGGTGTACTAGCTGGTGTAGTACCTGGTGTACTAGCTGGTGTACTAGCTGGTGTAGTAGCTGGTGTAGTAGCTGGTGTACTAGCTGGTGTGGTAGCTGGTGTACTAGCTGGTGTGGTAGCTGGTGTACTAGCTGGTGTAGTAGCTGGTGTAGTGGCTGGTGTACTAGCTGGTGTAGTAGCTGGTGTACTAGCTGGTGTGGTAGCTGGTGTAGTGGCTGGTGTACTAGCTGGTGTAGTAGCTGGTGTACTAGCTGGTGTGGTAGCTGGTGTACTAGCTGGTGTACTAGCTGGTGTAGTAGCTGGTGTACTAGGTGGTGTACTAGCTGGTGTAGTACCTGGTGTACTAGCTGGTGTAGTAGCTGGTGTGGTAGCTGGTGTAGTAGCTGGTGAAGTACTTGGTGTGGTTCCTGGATTTGTTCCAGGTGTCGTTCCAGGGGTTGTTCCGGATGTTGTTCCAGCCGTTGTTCCAGGTGTTGTTCCTGGGGTTGTTCCTGAGACGGAAAAATATGTTAAACGCAATAATATAAAGGAACTACACACCTATAGTAAATTGTCTGCGCTTAGTTTACTTGATTATCAGTTGCCGTGTAGCATCGGAAATTCCATACATTAGGTGTAACAAATATTCAAAGCTACTTACAGAGGCAATAACCACATGATATACAGAGAACCCAAATCCTTGTAAGTACCATAGTGTGTCTAGCTTTAGACTCACAAAAAAACTTGAAATTACCTGGTGTAGTACCTGGTGTGGTTCCCGGAGTTGTTCCAGGTGTTGTTTCAGGTGTTATTCCAGGTGTCGTTCCAGGGGTTGTTCCGGCTGTTGTTCCAGGCGATGTTCCTGGTGTAGTACCTGGTGTGGTTCCTTGAGTTGTTCCGGATGTTGTTCCTGGCGTTGTTCCTGGTGTTGTAGCTGGCGTTGTTCCCAGTGTTGTTCCTGAGAAGGGGGGGGGGGGGATGTTAAACGCAATACTATAAAAGAACTATACATCCTATAGTCAAAATTTCTGCGCTAAGTTTACTTGATAATTAGTTGCCATGTGGCATCGGAAATTCCATATATTAGTTGTAAAATATACTCAAAGCTGCTTACAGAGGCAAAAACCACATGACATTCATAGAATCTCAATCCTTGTAAGTACCATAGCGTGTCTAGCATGGGCGTCAATCCTTACGTAATACCTATTGTTCAGGGGGGGATGAATGAATAGATCATCCCCCCCCCCCCTGAACAATAGGTATCAATTACAGATCTACGCCCATGGTGTCTAGCTTTATACCCATACCAAAACTTGAACTAACCTGGTGTAGTACCTGGTGTCGTCCCCGGAGTTGTTGCAGGTGTTGTTCCTGGTGTTGTAGCTGGCATTGTGACAGGTGTTGTTCCAGGTGTTGTAGATCGAGCTGTACATGATGGTACCTATACAGAAAATAATGTTAAAAGCATTCATTTCGAGCAGCTCCGGGGCTTAGAATATAAACTTTTCATGCGCGGTAGCGGCCGGCGCAGCAAATATGAAACCGTGCGTATAGTCCGGCAGCCATCTCGATATACCTTGTTTTAGGGTCTATAGTTTTTTTTTTTTTGGATTATAGTTCCTTAGACCATCAATTTGAAGAATCCGATTGCTGACACTCTGTCAGCCTTGAGCAATTTGAGATATGTGACGTCACACAAAATGGCCGCCAAAATACCCTTTTTTACCAAAATTAATGATAACAAAATTGTTTACAGTATTTTGCTACATTAAATGTCAGTCAAATATCTTGATTTTTTTTCTAGGATCATCACTAAATAAAAATTGACGATGTTGAATGATAAAAAATGGCATGTAAATTTGCATAATTTAGATTGGCGCCCTCTATAGACACGTTAACTTGCAAATTTTAAATGATGGCCAAATGCCAATTTCTAACATGAAATTAAAATTTTGTATAAGTCACACGCACTGAATACAATTAGTAAAAATTGTGCACCACATTTTGGTGTGATTTTTTTGTTATTTTGTACTTTAAAGGTAAAGATCAGTTTTGGAAACGCCCCCCCCCCCCCTCTCAAAAAATGAAATGGAAGCTCTTATCACCAATCATGTGAAAGAATATGTTTTGACTAATACGTGATGATACAAATTTTGCTGAGAAACCGCCTACTAATTGATATATTTGGTAAATTATTATATATATTTAGACCTGATAGATATCGCGCACGTGTCGCGTTATCCCATATACATCCTTCTGTGTACAGTGCTTGTAACTTTACCAAGACTGGGCCAAATTTCTAATCGTTTTGATGATTCCAGAACCTTGCAGTACACACAAATACTTATAAGCTAGATGATCAACCTTTTCTGATCGATTCCACAACGTTTCTTTCACAATGCAATCGCATGACCATAACTGGTCTTTATCTTTAATACTTGAAGAAAACAAGCTAGAATTTCATGCTCTCTGTCCCATAGATATGAGGTGCCATATGGTTAAATGCCCGTTTTCAGTGACAGCATTCCGAAATTTGATTTGTATTTTGAGGTAATACATACTTTTATATGAACCTATCATGAAAAGGTTCCTCTCTTACAAGGGAATTTATGAGTTTAATAAAGCGAAATATCCACCCAAAATGACCAAACATGGTTACCTTCCAATGGCTATCATTTGCTGCTTCAGTTTGATCGTTATAACACTCGACAGAGGCGCGAAAACCACAGAAAATTGTGCATGCTAGTTTTGCTTTGTTGCATTGGCACCGTGATGATTTACATAGGCTTCCACTCGCACAAGTGCACCGTATTAACCTTAATATGTTGTCCGGTGCGAGTTGTACATTTGTAAGTACTGTGACAGGGATCAGGGATTTAGTTTCCTCTTCGTTTGCATAGCCATACTTTGTAGGATCCAATGATGTGGGTCGTGACTGCAAGGCGTGCTTCCACACACATGTTTGCAGATGAGCTCTCTTGCCAACTGAGTCCAAAGGGAGTCAAATCTTCTGCTTCATCACTTTCAGCAATGCATGTACCCTTTTCAATCCCAAAGTATGCTCCAATAGTGTCGCATCCCCTCAACGCATGTCCTGCCAACATCGATGGAATGATATCTCCTAACTTGTGTACAGTGGCAGGAATGTCAATAACAGTTCGCTCTTTGATGACTCCATGATCATTGGCGTTCTAAGTTATTCATGTACATAATGATGGACCCTAACCCTAACAGCCACGACCCTAACATACCTTTTCTCATTAGCAGCAATTTGAATCGCTTGCTGTACTATGATGTTGTCTGCTTCTTCATGTGTTATGGAAAGATCTTCCCTTGGCATGACATCGCTGCCTGGTATCATTTCAACAGATACCTCATCTTGACCGGTAATGACCAGCTTGTGCTTTTGCCTATTTCTGAACACCTCATCATTCTGCAGAATCACGCATACCGGTATATGATGTTGATCAACTGTAGTTTGTTGTCAGTAGTTTCTGGGAGGGAAGCAATGAGGTGGGAAGACTCTTTTGGATGACTCTCGATTCGTCATGACTTCTAGAAACCCTGGTGGCACACCAACCAAAGATCATCAGATTTTGATACAGAGTAGAGCACAACCATCAAACGGGCTGTACAAGGTTGTTCAAGTGACACGTCAACCTTTGTCAAATTCTTCAAGTTCGCCTTTGACCTGGTGAAAGCTTCCATGACAAAATATTCTTGATATTGACATATCTTCAACTTGCCTGCAGTCCTATTACTCTAGAGTAGATCAACTTGGTGTCATAGACTTTCGAATCCTCCAATGTTAATTAAACTACACCCTCCAAGTGGTTGAAAACTTCACCTACCTCGGCTCCATGTATTAAGCAACCTCTCCCTTGATCTCGAGCTCAACGTTCACATTGGCAAGGCAGCAACCAAGATGGCTAGACACTCAAAGCAGGCCTGGAAGAACACTTTACTATAAACCACCGACACGAAAATGAAGATCTACCAGGCCTATGTGCTCAGCACTCTCCTATATGGCAGTGAGTTGTGAACCCTGTATGCAAGTCAGGAGCGCCGTTTGAATGTTTTCCATTTCCGCTACTTGAGGCGAATCCTAGCTAGGCATCAAATGGCAGGACCACATTCCAAACAAGGATGTCCTCAAAAATTAGGAGGGATGATGACCATCTACGCTCTTCTATCACAACGACGGCTGAGACGGCTTGGTCATGTCAGTCGAATGGAAGACGGCCGCATTTCAAAAGACATCTTGTACGGAAAGTTAGCGACCAGAACCAGGACTGTTAGAAGACCTGGCCTTCGCTTCATGGATGTGTGCAAGAGGGATATGGAGGCCAGTGAAATCAACCCTACAAAATGGGAAGCCTATGCTTCAGACTGCCCCAAATGGAGATGCGCTGTGAAGACATGTATACAGAGGAGTGATCAGAAGAGAGTAGAACAGTGGGAGGAGAAAAGACAACAAAGACGGCAGCTAGCCACGGCTTCAACAGCACAGACACACATGAAATTTGTCTGCAACTGCCTCTCTAGGATTTGACTGTTTAGTCATAGCAGGAGCTGCACAGCAAGAAACTCTTGCTTGAAGCTGTTAAACAGAGGTACAATTGACGGTGTTCAAAGGGAGGGAGTTCCAGAGTCTTATTGTATCCGGGAAGAAGCTCCTCTTTTAGACAAGCATTCAGGCAAAATGAACAATAATCTTCTTGGAATGCCCTCTGTGCAGGGATGTTAATGGAGTGAGGAAAGTATGTGGAAAGTCTTTCAGCGGGTTGTTGATGCGAAAGATCATCACCACCTGAGCCTGTACCCTGCGTTCTTGTAATGTTGGCCACTTGAGCTGGTTCAGGATGGCTTCTACTTTGCTTGTCCTGCAGTGGTCATTGCAGAAGGAGCGGACATAGCGCCGTTGACCCATTTCAAGCTTCTTGATGATTGCTAATTGTTTGAGTGTTAGGGTCCCATATAATTATGATGATGGCATACTCCATGATTGGTTGAAGGCGAGTATCGTAGCACAATTATTTAACTTTTCTAGGACATGGTTGGATATTTCTTTGAAGAAAGGCACGGGTGGAGTTGGAGTATTTGCTGATAATGTTGATATGTGGGTTCCAGCTGAGGTTTTTCTGCGACTCAACACCTCGATACTTTGCTATATTTTTGTCATCTAGGGTCTGTCCGTGAATTTGATGATAGATTTGCGTTTATTGGTGACATGTAGAACCTGACATTTATGTGGGATGAATTCCATCAGCCAATCACGCTCCCAGCGTTGCAGTGAGTCAAGATCCTCTTGGAAACGTTAGGCATCTTCCTATGTCTTGATGTTGCTGTATAGCATGCCATCGTCAGCAAAGAGCCTGACTGTTGGGTTTGGGGAGAGGTACGGTGGCAGATCATTGAGGAAGAGGAGAAACAGCATCTGGCCGATAACGCTGCCTTGCGGGATGCCAGATGTTACTTGGCTGGTGTTGGAGATGGGTCCTTCCAGTAACACCTGCTGGGTCCTGTAACTCAGGAAGCCAGAAAACCAAGCATGTGTGGGTTCCCAGATTCCATAGAATTAGAGCTTGTGTAACAGCTAGCCTTCCATGGGGAACCTTGTCAAATGCTTTGGAGAAACCAAGGAGTGTCATGTCCAATTGGTCTCTGGCATCGATGCCTTTGGCAAGGTCCAGGACAGCAAGGACAAGCTGTGAGACGCAGGATCGCTTCTTTCGAAAGCAATGTTGTGCATCAGACAATATGTTGTGGCTTTCAAGGTGGTTCATGTTGCTGCTAAGAACGATGTGCTCCAGTACTTCACAGGTTACTGACGTCTGAGAGACAGCTTTGTAGTTATCTGGCTTGCTACGGTCACCTTTCTTGAAGATGGGATCAATATATATAGCCATCTTCCATTTATCAGGTATGCACGCTCTGGTTAAGGAGGCTTGGAAGAATAGAGGGAACACAGATGTCAGTTTGGTGGTCAGAAGTCTGGCTGGGATTTGGTCAGGACCAGTGGCTTTATGAACATCAAGCTCAGACAGGATCTTCAGAACCCCTGGTGGCAAGATAGTAATGTGATCCATAGTTGGGTAGGGGCTTCGTCTTTTGTCTCTCAGACTAGTCATATCTTCATTGCAGTTGAAGATGGATGAAAACTGATTACTTAGAATGTTCGCCTTTGAGAGGCTATCTGAGTAAGTCTTTCCATTAGATTATTTCAATGGAGCCAACCCTGAAGCATCGCATCGCTTGCCGTTTATGAAACTCCAGAAACACTTTGGTTTACAGTTGGTGTCTGGGCTGACAATTTCTGTCAGGTACCCGTTGTAGACTTTCTTGGAAATTGTGTCATAGAATCCACCAGGTAACTTCTGTTAAAACTCATGCATCTGTCCGGTACAGATGCCAAATGCTTTATCATCATTCACTGACGCTGGATCAATGCTGGTCTAAAAAAAAGCTTATGAATGGAACAATGGGAGTGTCGTGGTCGAGTGGTTTAAGGCGCTTGACTGTAGATGCGAAGGTCGAGGGTTCGAATCCCGACACGGCACTAATATCCTTTGGCAAGATATTTACCTGCACTTGCTACTCTCCACCCAGGTGTTAAATGGGTACCCGGTAGGATGCGAACGTTCATGTGGTTGAACGAGCAAGTGTGCGCCTGTAAAATGGCGACTGGCTGGAATGCTCCCCAGGGAGTGGAAAATGTGCACACATTGTGTGCGGGTAAGCCTGAATCCGATGACCGGGGTAATAATATATCTGTAAAGCGCTTAGGTACATCGTTGGATCGGTGTATTGAGCGCTATATAAAAAACCAGATTATTATTATTATTATTATTAATAATGTACCGTAAAATCACTTTTCACTGATTCTCTTGTAGATCTTGGTTTCTTTACATGTATCTTAATTTAGACCAAAAAATATGTAAGATAAATGCAGCACAATCGTAATTATTTCATGCATACGAAGCATATAATATGTGTTTAACGTGACGTAGATCTAAGAAATTGGCATTTGGCTGGCACACCTATTTTTATGCAAAATTAATATATTTATAGAGGGCGCTATTTCAAAATATGCAAATTAGCTTGTCATCTATGGCCGTGCAACATCACGAAACAATTTGTAGTGATGGTCCTAGAGAGATACAGACATTTGGCAGCCCAAAATTGTAGAAAAATCCTTGTTTTATATTTATTATACATTTTTAGAGAAAAATCATGTACTTTGGCGGCCATTTTGTATGACGTCACATATCTTAAATTGCTCAAGGCTGACAGAGTGTCAGCAATCGGATTCTTCAAATAGAAGGTTTAGGCAATCATAATCCATTGAAAAAAAAACTATAGACCCTAAAACAAGGTTAGGCCAATAATCTGGATTTGGCTGCCGGACTAGTAGGCCTATCGACGATACAACATGCATGGAAGAATCGTCGGGGTAGGACGAAGAATTACTCCCATCGAAGACTTCTTCAAATTATAATTTCAAGCGGCCTGCGAGATGCCCAGAGGAGTCGAGCAACCTCCTAATTAAGTCAAAATTGTAATTAATCCCTTTGCATATTTTGAGACGTCGCCCGGCCAACCCGCTGTTTGAATAGTTTTCCTATGCAGCCTCTAAAGCTCCGACACCTTCGGTGTCCACGTCGGAGCTTCCTGGAGTTAGATCCACTCCACCCCCCCCCCCCCCCCCCCCCTGTTGACTGCAACAATTAAATTGGAATGGCAAGAATGACCCTTTAAACCAAGCCAATCAAGACAATGGAATATAAGAATTGAAATCACTTTTGAGAACATATCTTGTGTAATGATTTACATTAAAATATGCTATGCTCGAGCCAAAGTCAGGCTAAGTAGACTACATGCAGAAGTCAACGATCACACTCACTCGCTCATTTTGGCAGGCCAGGCGAGCGGGCTTACATCAACTGATGCCACTGCAGCAAAGCACGTAGACCGAAAGCTTCAGTCTCTATAATCGTCGGTTGTTCCACATGTGCGCCATCTACACGTTCGTAATGGCGTTATCACGGTGTTTCCTCCCGGTAAGTGGAACCAATGTATAGCCTAGGCCTAATTTAAAATTGGATATACACGAGGTAAAATGACATTTTGGGGGATTTTGGGGGATTTTGGGGGCATAACAATACGGCCGTGGCAAGTTTGTCATGTTTGTGGGGAGAGGCCTATAATTTAACGGCTAAAATCTAGCCGTGATATCTTCAACATATATAGGCGATCGTTCAGTCTCTGTAACCGGAGGTCTAGTGGAGCCAGACGTAGTCTCAGTGGAACAACCGACGATTATAGAGACTGAAGCTTTCGGTCTACAAAGCACGATGCTAACTTACCCGAGAATGTGTTGAAGAAATTGCTCATACGTTGTGTTACGAAAAAGTAAGACCCATGCGGTAATTTCTTTTCTTTTTCTCGGTGCTTGCGTACATTATTCCTTCACGAAGGCTGTTCTGCATTGACTTGAACGAACATGTAAGCTTTTTTTGTTTTTCTTCTTCTGTATCCTTCTTTTGGTGTTATACAGCCGAAAAAATAACGCTGGCAGGAGAGCGGGAGGAAGGCGTGGTGGTGGGAGTTTCCCCGCTACGAGCTTTTGGGGCGGCGGGAGAATGAGCGTGGTGGCGTGCATGAGCCTCGATCCCTCCAAATGCAATGCGGGAGGGTTGACAGCCCTGGTTATATCTGAATTGCATTAAAAAAAACTGGCTAAGATCATCATTCACAAGTTTAGAGGTTTAGTTCTGTCAGGGATATGTGAGTTTAAATATCCCTGGTTCGGTTCTGTGTTCCTACCGCTGTAGAACCCACTGATTTATGGGGATGAAATACCAGGCGCGGATCCAGGATTTTCCAATAGGGGGGGGGGGGGGGGGGGGGTCGGAAATTTCGCTGAACGTTTTTTCAACTCAACATACCAATACTGACAAGGCCGTACTGGTACAATAAGCATTGACGTCGGGCGGGAGGGGTGGTAGGGGATGGGGGGGGGGCTAGTCTGCGAAGCGAGCAAGCAATAGTTTGATCATGTATTTTCTGAAAGTGTTATTTATCACCAAAATAAACAAGAAAACATATGGAACACTGTGGTGTCTTTTGGCGAGTCTCGAACGCATGCTCGCGCGCATGTATTATATAACCAATATCTAAAAAAATAACGATAGAATAGTATTGCCGAAAAAGTATATTTATATGAATAACAATAATCAAACAAAAGTACTGTAAATATACTTCAAATTAAAATAGGTAATACAAATTGTTACTAGTGCATATAAACTGCCAGAAATGATGTATAAACAAATAAAATTAAATGTGGCTGGTCAAGATACTGCATTATGATATGATTACAATTTTATTTTATTTCAGTCAGTAAAAGAACACTTGAAAGTGAATAAAAATAACAAACACAACATATGAAACTCTATTATTTAATTATTTCCGGATAAAATGAAATGAAACTACATTATATCATATGGAAATTTGAAAATACCCTAGCCTGCATACACAACAATATAAATTTTAACAACATATAAATGGACACATCAAAAATATTAAGGAAACATTCGAAAGTTCATAGACATATTTGAGCATAGTATGTTATTCTTTTAAGTCCTGTTGTGAAACTGTACTTGGTTTGTGCAGCTTGTACTTCGTGTGGTAGTGAGTTCCATAGGCAAGCGCCTCTGTACACAAATGTGCGTTTGGTACTATCCGTTTTAGGCTGGATTGTCTTGACACATAGATTGCCACTTCTCGTATTATATGGTTTTTCTCTGTGCGAAAATTTATCAATTAAATAAGAAGGGGCTTTTTTATTAAGTATATTGAAAGTCATTAAAGCGATATTTTCTTTCCTTTTCTGTTCAAGCGTATCCCATCCAAGTTTATTAAGGTTGTAGCTTCCCGATGAATCCCAAGGGGTATTATTTATTATTCGAGCTGCCCGATTTTGTATTTTTTGGAGTTCATTTTAGTAGTATATATCTCTATGGGTTAAACTTAAACTTTTTTTGTGTGAATTTGGGCCTCGGTGTCTTTTATGTAGATGCATACACGTTCTTTTCTTTTTGTAGTTAAATTGTTTTAGATGTGGAATATAATACAAATAATCCCCTTTTGGTTTCAGGCAATGGCAAACTATCACTTCCTCGTCGATCAGAATGTATACGCTATCTTTCCTCAGCTTCGCTTCGGAAAGATAGCTACATCCAGATCGCCTCGGAAGTGATAGTTTGTCCCATCACCTTCACCAACGGTAATTATTTGCTTATTGTCAATAGCAACTGCCACAGGGCTATCACAAATCTGCTAATGGCCAATTAAATGCGAGGATATCAGTAGCTTTTTTTAACAATTATCATATATTTTTGGGATAACAGGTTTATGAAACACGGCCCAGTTCGAAAAGAGTAGACATATTTTTGTTTTAAATCGCAAATTGGGATTTCAAGATTGGAGGTAATGGAATAACTTGTTTGTTCCAAGTGAGGTTGATGAAACCAGGGTTTTATGTGATAACTATAATTATAATATACTTTATTATATAATATATTTTTGAGGCACATATCACCAGAAGATCATTTCTAGTAATAAAGATAATAGTAAGAAGCAATAGAAAAATTGTTGGAAAACAGCATGCATTTTAATTCATTTAAGAGCACCAAAATTAACCATGCAAACCATAACAATTGACTAATCACCACATAAAGAAAAAAAATTGACTAATAACACATATCAAGTGCATAAAAGATCCTGTTATTTTTTTACAAAGAAAGAGAAGGTCGGAAAGTGAACAGAGAGGGAGAGACTGTGAAAGAAATGTCACTATAGAGAGAAGAAAGAAATGAGAGATTAGTCTCAGAAAGGAAATAATGTTACGAGATAAGATTATTGAACGCAATCATAACATTAAACAGTGCTATCAATGTTTTCGTGTCTTTTTCTTAATTCTTTCAAGCTCTCAAATATTGCATGGTGAACTTAAGTACAGTAATTGTAGAAAAAGAAAGCAAAAATCTCGAACCCGCCAAAGCCTCCTCCCCACACACATAATAGAGGTATATACAATAAAGAACCACGCCTTCATTTTCAAACTGACAGAATTTGCAAACTACCTGGAAGATAGACAGCAAAATTAATCTGGAAACTTGCTTTCCAGGACAAAGTCAGTCTCAAAACAAATTTTAATGACAAAATAAGCTAGTAAGAATTATTCCGTAATAAAAATATTAAAATTATACAAGTCAAATTTTGTTAACAATACTCTGCTTCCAGTAAACAAAATCAATATTCAGACCCGCCCAAAAACTTGATTTGAAAGTAGACGGTCGATTAATTCCATGAAAGGTTGCGTTCACAGTCCCATTCACATATTCCGAGGAGATGTCTTACATGGCGATTACTGCGACATACCATTGTATTCACGACTGAGGACTTTAATGGGGGGAATCCCATTTGGTCTACAACCAGTTCGTCTACTATCCACATGATCTAATAATCATTTCGTCTACTTATCATTCGGTCTAATGACTACTTAGACTAATAGTCATTTGTAATAATTCACATATGGTCCCATATCAAATTAGTCTACCTCCCATTTGGTTTATTGTTCATTTAGTCCAATAACCAGTTAGTCTAATTCCCAGTATGTCTAATGCCCATTTCGTCTACCATCTATAAGGTCTAATAATCATTAGTGATTATTATTCATGATTACATGATTATTGGACCAAATGGATAGTTGACAAAATGAGCATTAGACAAACTGGGAATTAGCAGCTTAAAGCATCAAAAAAATATTTTGAAATTTCAACTTACCATAAAGAGTACTAGCATGACCCATGAAAGAGCTGGCGTGATTCGTCGGATATCCATTGTCAGCGGTTCTGGCCCGGAGGCTGGAACAAATCAGAGACATTGTACTATTATAATGGTTTATTTATTCCAAATGATGCATCGAAGCCCGGGTGCACGATTTTTTTACAAAAGTATTTACGTGATAACAAAATACACTATATAGACTCAAATATAATACAAGTAAACAATTGTGTGAGTGATTTCGATAACTTTGCTTTTCTCGATGGGGTAGACAATTTTTGCATTTCAAATGAAACTAGGAGAAAGTCAACATTTGAAATCAAGCATGAAATTGTTTGCTTGTATTATTATAATTCTACATAGTGTATTTTTAACCAAGTATTGAACTAAATCTGAATTATTAAACAGCACCGTCGTGCATGGACCTACACTAAGGCAAAACAAAACACAAATAGAAGGGAAAAAAAGGGGGTTCAATCGCACTCTTTGCAACCCTCTCCCTCTTCAGATTACTAGTACTGTATATATGGATAATGAGGTGGATGTAGAATCGGATATGAAATTGCTCATCTTATTACGCCGATATATGTGCTTTGATTCAGTTACAGTAACGGTTATAATCGGGTTTCAGGGGAAGCTCAAGCTCTACCAAGCTCTCGATTCTGATAGTCGACCAAGGAGACGACGTGACGCATGCGCAGTTCATTTAGGTGACGTCCAAGTTCAAGTTTTATTTTCACATGTGGTTCATAAAAAACAAGTATACATACATGTTCAGACATATAAAAAATACACAATTAACAAACAATAATATTAAGGGAAACAAATAGCGAACAAAATCTAAAATCTATAAACAAAGAACAACTAAATACATGTAGATATAAAATTTAAAAAACATGTGGGGGGACCAACAAAGGCCAGGGGCCTGTCGAGGCTAATCCCCAGAACAATAGTAGATATTTTGGATATTTTATATATAAAAAACAAACTAAAAAAACAAAAACAAACAAAAAACCCACAAACAATAGCGACGTACAGTACATGATAAAACAAAATTCAGTTGGCAAATTAAACAGGCAAACAAAAAAATTATATTGTACCACTATACATTTGTGAATCATTTTTATGTAAAATATACAGTTTAAATTTACGTTTAAAATTAGAGAGTGTCGGACTGTTCTTAATCTCTAGTCTCTACAGGTATTGAATTCCAGGATTTTACACCAGTGTAAGAAATTGTTGTTTGAGAGAAACTATATTTATATAACGGCAATCTTAAGTGATTTGAATTTCTGGTACTATGGCTATGAATTGTACAATTTGAAGTGAAATAATTATTAAAACTATCTGGTAAAATGTTCTTAAAATAGGAGTACATAAAAATGTCGACGTGCAAATCTAAAAGTCCCTAGTATGCTTAGCGTGAAAACTGAATTATGTTCTTAGACTAGGCGTACGAATATGCTAAAACACTCCACCCTCGGCGGCTGGCAGCAAGTGTAGGGAACATTGAACCGATAAAATAAGACCCGGTCAGATTCCGAACACCGCCCCCCCCCCCCCCCCCCCCCCAAAAAGTGCGGTATCGTATAGGGAATTAAAATTAGTTTTCATTATCAATAGCGCTATAATTATGTTGGTGGATTTTCTTTTGATCATATCAAGGATATTTCTCAATTCTTAAGAGATACTTCTTTTTTTATATTCCTAGGAACACAAATGCACATGTATTAGTTTACCTGAACGACCAAGTCAACATATTAATTAGTTATTTATTCATACTGATAAGTTAATAGAAGTCTG